GCCTGTGATGTCTTCGATTCACGGGGTTCATGGGTTACGCATTAGGACCCAGGACATCGGGTCGAGGCCTGAAAGTCTTACGTATGCATGTTAGTTCTTCGATCGATGTATTCCCCCCCTGGGCCTATCTCCCGCTAACGTTGCACCCTGGACCTGCTCTTTCCTTTCCTACTTGCCCGTGCGAATTCGGGGACCCCAGCATCAGGAGGGCCCAGGAAAGGAGGGCCCAGGAGAGGAGGCTTCACAACAGGAGGGTTCCTGGGGCCCTCTTGGAGCCCTCTTGAGGCCTTCTTAAAACCTTCTCGGGGGCCCCAAAGGGCCCCCGAGAAGCTCCCGGAATAACCTACCAAGTGACTTCTTTGTCGTACGTAGGTTCCGTTTGGCCCCTCTCTTGGAGCCCTCTTGGGGCCCCCATGGGCCCCTCCGCCCCCTTCCACCTTCATGCGGCGCAAGACTTGTGATGTAAGCTATATGGTGCAATTCAGATTGAGCGCGCACTGGGGTCCACTCTACGCGGTGTAATCTTTCTGATGAGGGCCATCAGTGTACATGTGCGTGTTCAGGTGTACGCACGTATGCATCGACGCATGTCCATGTGTACGTCTGGTGCTGGCTACGTGGTGAAAACTACGTGGTAAACATATGTGGTGCAAACTTTGGACGCCCGAAATGGGTACGGAAAACATGGGTACAATGCCCAACAACACATGTCGTCCCAAACCAACAGCGGCCGCTGTTGGACAGGCGGCCCTTCTGTCTCGAATGGACACAGGCCGCGGCGGCGTGGACGGCGAGCCCCGTTCAAAAGGAACAGGAACTGTGGTTGAGCATTGTGCCCCTTCTTTCCGTGCCCATCTCGTTCGTGCGGCGGTGAAAGAGGAAGAGGAGGAGAAGGAGGAGGAGGAGGAGGAGGACGACGAGGAGGAGGAGGAGGAGCAGTGGTGCAAGCTGTGCGGCTGCCCAGCGAACGGGGGGCCCGAGAGGCGCCCACGGGCCGGCAGCCGGCGACGCCTCGCCGCGCCCACCCCGCGCACGCGGCGCCCCACGCGGCGCCCACGAGGCGCCCACGCTTGCGGCCACAGCCAGGCACGGGCGGCGAAACCTCGCCACGCCCACCCGGGCCACCTCCTCCTCCTCCTCCTCCTCGCGCCTCCTCCTCCTCCTCCTCTTCCTCCTCCTCTTCCTCCTCCTCCTCCTCCTTCTCCTCTTCCTCCTCCTCCTCCTCCTCCTCCTCTCCTCCCTCCCCTCCTCCCTCCTCCTCCTCCTCCTCCTCCTCCTCCTCCTCCTCCTCCTCCTCCTCCTCCTCCCCACGAGGCGCCCACGGGCGGGCACCGGGCGAGGCCTCGCCACACACATCAGATTACTCCTCGGCCCAGGGAAGCACCCCTCAGTGGGATCGTCCTTCCGGGTGGGAGCGCGCGGCATCTGTTCCCGACTGCTCGGTGGTGTGGGGCCCCCCGCTCTGAAGAGACGGCGCCCAGCGCCACTCCTTCCGCCTTCCATCCTACTTCTGCTCTTCCCTCCCTCCCTGCTTCTGCCCTCCGCATGTCCATCCCGGCGCACCCCTCACACGCTTCGCGGCCCCACAGGGAGCTCCACCTACAGGCCACAAGGGGTGCGGACACATGCGGCTCCCCGCCCACCGCGTGTGCATTCGGTGCCCCCCTCACGCGTTTCGTGGCCCCATAGGGAGCTCCAACTGAGACCACACTGGGTGCTACCATATGCGCCCGTTCCGCCCACAGCATGTGCATGTCGGCACACCCCTCACACGCTTTGTGGGCCCCATACGGAGCCCCAGTGGGTGCGGCCACATGCGGCTCCCCGCCCACCACATGTCCATTTCGGCATCCACCTGCGGCTCCCCGACCACCGCATGTGCAATTTGGCACACCCCTCACACGCTTAGAGCCCCCATAGGCAGCTGCACCTGATGCCCCAGTGGGTGCGGCCACATGCGCCCCCCCGCCCCTCGCACGTTTCGCGGCCACACATAGGGAGCTCCACCGACGTCCACAGTGGGCGTGCATTCCTGCACAGCGAGCTCCACCAAAGGCCCCGGTGGGTGCGGCCACATGCCCCCCCCCCCCCCGCCCGCCGCATGTCCATTTCGGCACGCCCCTCGCCAAGGTCCACGGGCGGCCCCCCGCCCACCGCACGTGCACGTCGGCCCCCCTCTCAGACGTTTCGTGGCCCCTGTAAGGGGGCTCCACCTGAGGCCACACACGACTCCTCGTCCGTTCTGGCACCCATCTCATACGTTTCGTGGCCCCATGGGGAGCTCCACAGAATGCGAGTGTCACAGCTGCGGCCTCACGAGTGCACATGGTTGGGTCCTTCGCCCGGACGAGTCAGACATCTGCTTACCAGGCATCCTGTGGTGCTGGGTCCCCGCTTTGAAGAGACGGCGCCCCGCGCCACTCCTTCTTCCTTCCTCCTCCCCCTCCTACCTGCTCTCATGCCCCTGCCCTCTGCATGTCCCTTTCGCCGCTCCCCTCACTCGTTTCGTGGCCCCGTCAGGAGCGCAGCATGAGGCCTTCGTGGGTGCGGCCACATGCGGCTCCCGGCCCACCGCATGTGCATGTCGGCGCTCCCCTCACTCGTTTCGTGGCCCCGTCAGGAGCTCCACATGAGGTCTCAGAGGGTGCGGCCACATGCGGCCCCCCGCCCACCGCATGTGCATGTCGGCACGCGTCTCACACGCTTCGTGACCCCATGGGGAGCTCCACCGAAAGCCCCAGTGGGTGCGGCCACATGCGGCTCCCCGCCCACCGCATGTCCATTTCGGCACTCCGTCAGACGTTTCTTGGCCGCATCGGGAGCTAGCTCCACCCAAGGCCCCAGTGGGTGCGGCCACATGCGACTCCAGGCCCACCGCATGTCCATTTCGGCTCCGCACTACACGCTCCGTGGCCCCATGGTGGCTCCGCCCAAGGCACATGCGGCTCCACGCCCACCGCATGTCCATTTCGGCCCCGCATCACACGCTCCGTGGCCCCATGGTGGCTCCGCCTAAGGCAACAGTGGGTGCGGCCACATGCGGCTTCATTCCCAACACATGTCTAGTTCGGCACACCCATCACACGTTTAGTGCCCCAATCAGAACTCCACCATGCGGCTCCCCGCTCACTGCATGTGAATGTCGGCAGTCCCCTCACACGTCTCGTGGCCCCACAGGGAGCTCCACCTACGGCCCCAGTGCGGCCACATGCGGCTCCCCGCCCACTGCATGTGAATGTCGGCACGCGTCTCACACGTCTCGTGGCCCCATAGGGAGCTCCACCTAAGGCTCCAACGGGTGCGGCCACATGCGGCTCCTCGCCCATTTCGGCACACGCCTCACACTCTTCGTGGCCCCGCAAGGAGCTCCAAAGAAGACGGTATCCACAACTGCGGCCCTCGCAACTGCATATGGTTGGGTCCTTTGCCGAGATGACTTCGGCCTGCGGAGATCTCCCGCGACCTCGGGAGACCTCTGCGAGAGGAATACAGAGGAGGACAACGATTATTGTGATGTTGCTTCGTCGCACCTGTGCTCCCCCCTCTCGATCCGCCGCATTTTCTCCCCCTCTCCACTCCTTATGAATGAAGGAACTCCTTCTGCCGCATACCGAGGCGTGCCGGCAGGATGGGCCGGGCGTTTCGCCTGAGACGCCCGCACCACTTATCATCCTTGAGCCTGAGCATTTGCAAGAGTTCCACGGGTAGAAGGCGGGCCGTCTTCAACATGTGGCTCTCGCGTTCGCGACGCGCACATGCGTCTTAAGACTGTACAGCAGTGTCGAGGATTCTCATGGCTAACGCGTCCCAGAAACGGTGTCTTGGCACGATCGCGGACCGTCAGAGCGCAACAATTACGTTGATTCTCGATGTTGAAGTCCCAGGAATATGTTCTGACGCGCTTCCGGACCGTCAAGACGCAACAGTAACGGTGATTCGCGACGTTGAAGTCCCAGGAGTGGTGGTCTGGCACAGTTCAAGATTTCCACCAACGGGGCACATCCCTTAGTGAAAACGAACCGTTGTAGGGGCCCACGGAGAGGGAACTTGGAGGGAGGTTTTATTGCAATATCGTTGATGAATCTTGGGTTTACATTGGTCGTCCTCCTCTTCCCGATCCCTTCTCGCTTCCCTAGGAGCCCGCATTACCGCCTTTCACATCGGGAACACGATGGAAGAAGAACGCGATCGAGATGAGCAAATGCCCAAAATTCTAAGCCAGCCGCTCGCGGGCTAGAATTGTGACAAAGAAGCTATGTAGCTGAGTGGCTGCATGGCGCTTCGTACTCCTCCAACGCTGCCCATCACCATTCTGCAAGCAGTATGAACAGTGCTGCACGCGTCCCCACTCTTACTGTCAGGAGCTCTTGCTCAGCGTGTCGCGGCGGCGGCCTCTGCCACATGCCCTGCTTTGCAAACTGATGGCGTATCGCTCGGGAAGAACTCGGAACGCTGATGCTCGAGGACCGGGGCGTGCCTGGCAAGTCGCGCCGAAGCGTGGTGGGTCAGAATCGGCGGCACGACACGCCAAACAAGTGTTCCTGCCCGTGTTTCTGATACGAATATGGCGGATTCTGGAAACCCCGAAACCAAAAACGTCTCCATGTCTTGGGGCCTCACCTTTTACTTCCGCCGCCTTCCGCCGGCCTCCGCCCGCGGAGGCACCCTCGCTTTACTTCCGCCGCCTTCCGTCACTCTTCCGTCGCCTTCCGCTGAGGAAGAGATGGCAACTCCTTTGATCCTCGAAGGCAAGGCCCTTTCTGGAACGCCCCACATGAATCCAATGCTGGTCATCGCCAGCTTCCCAATGGTCTTGGTCGCCGCCGTCGCTGTCGAAACTGCAGACGACCTCACTACAATTGGAACCCAAGGAACGGAGGCCTCCAACGACCTCCAGAGGCCCAAGGAGGGCCAGAAGCAACCAAACGCCTCGATCCTCAATCCCGACTCGGTCCTTAGCCCGCCTCCTCCTCCTCCTCCTCCTTCTCCTCCTCCTCCTCACCCTCCTGACCCTCCTCCTCACCCTCCTCTTCACCTCCTCCTCATCCTCCTCCTCCTCCTCACCCTCCTCCTTTTCCTCACCTCCTCCTCCTCCTCCTCACCTCCACCTCCACCTTCACCTCCTCCTCTTTCTCCTCCTCTTTCTCCTTCTCCTCCTCCTCCTCCGCCTCCTCCTCCTCCTCCTCCTCCTCCTCCTCCTCACTCCTCCTCCTCACTCCTCCCTCTCCTCCTCCTCCTCCTCCTCACTCCTCCTCCTCCCTCCTCCTCCTCACTCCTCTTCTTCCTCCTCCTCCTCCTCCTCCTCCTCCTCCTCCTCACCATCATCCTCCTCCACCCACCCTCCTGGCCCAAATCCGCTCAGCATTGGTCTCCAGACCCCTCCCGGGCCCGCCCTGGCTGGCTCTTCCGGCCGCGCCTGGGGCCGGGAGGCCCCACCAGACTCCCGAGAACGACGACGCCGCCGCCGCCGCCGACGTCGTCGTCGACCCGCCGCCGCCGCCGCCGACGACGACGACGACGACGCCGCCGCCACCGACGACGACGACGCCGCCGCCGCCGAGGACGGGAGTGATGTCATTAAGACGAAGCCAGGACGAGGATAGACTCGGGTGAATACAAATCGAAGATCTCTGAGATCCGGCAACTCTGGAAGACGTCTCGGGCGCCGCGGCCTTCTCGGAGCGCTCCGGGACGCTCTGAGAGCGTTCCGGGACGCTCTGGAACGGATTTATCCTCGTCCCAGCCCCGTCCGAGTCATGGCTCCAGGAATTCTGGAGCGTCTAGCGGCCCCCGTTTCTGCAGCCCGTGTGGAACATGAGGAAACCTAGGCAATCCAATCAATCTAGTAAACCCTGGAACGTGTCATTATCAAGACCGCTTGCTCCTCCCCAGACATGCGGCCTCGATTCACCCTCGAGCGCAGCCACGGCCAGCCACTCGAGCGCGTCAGGGGCAACGCCCTAACAGCGGAGAGCCCGCCGTCAGCGCGGGCGCACGCTTCGCAGTGCCCTGCACAAGCCGCGCAGAGGCCACAGGCCCGGGGAGCAGAAGATGGCACCACTCGCCCCAGTGAGGGAGCGGAGGCGGGGAAGGAGGGAGGATGAGGAGGAGCGGGAGGAGGAGGAGGAGGAGGAGGAGGAAAAGGAAGAAAGGAGAAGAAGGGGGAGGATTAGGAGGACCAGTGTAAACCCAAGACGCACGAACGATGTTGCAATAAACTGTTTAATGCACTCTCCCTCCAAATTCCCTCCTCATAGGTTCTTGCAACAATTTACTTTCAATACGGGAAGTGCCACACTGAAGACAACCGTGTGGGAATCCTTCATCGTGCCAAAACACCATTCCTGGAACTTCAGCGCCGCGAATCCACGTGGCGGTTGCGTCCTGACAATCTCAGACAGTGCCATAACACAACTCCTGGAACTTGAACACATCAAATCATCGTGACTGTTGCGTCAAGAGCACCTTAAACGGTGCCAGAAGATAGTTCCTTCGACTTCAAGCCTGCGAACCCTTGAAGCGGTAGCGAAATTTCTAAGCGACTGCGTACGCGCGGGGCCAAAGTGAGAACCACACTTTGAAAATTAATGGCCCTCCACCTGTGACGTGGTTATGAACTTTTAAGACGAATGCGCGCGACGCTGGGGCGAGAACCACATTCTTAAAACCACCCGCCCTCCATCCGTGAAGCTGCTTGCAAACTTCGGGGAACAATGTGCGCGGCTCAAAATCGAGAGCTACATCGTGAAAATGCCTCGCCCTCCATCCTTGGAGCTGTTGTGAACTTTGAAAACGAATGTGCGTGGCGCTACGGCGAGATCACATTTATAAAAACCATCCAGTCTCCATCCGTGAGGCGGTTGTCAACTTTTAAGATGAAAGTGCGCGGCGCTAAAGCGAGAGCGACATTTTGAAAGTGGCCCGCCCTATCTTTGAAACTTGTTCAAACTTTGATGGCGAATGTGCGCGGCCGTCAAACAAAACCCACATTTTGCAACTTTCCCGCCCTCCATCCGTGAAGCTGTTGCGCATGTCAAGCTTCAGAATCACAAACGGTGGAGAGGTCTCAGGCGAAGCGCTCTTCCCGCCATGCCGACACGTCTGGGTGGGCGGACAGCGAGGAGTTATTTAGCATCAAAATATGAAGGAGGATGAGGAGGGAGAGAGGGATAGGAATGCGAAGATCGGATCGGACAGGCTGTCCACGAGAAAAAACGCCAATCCCCTACCCCCGGGGCAAGCGCCGAGCTCGATTGGATTCGACGGTCGAGGTTGGCCCTACAAGGGCCAAGAAAAGGTCTGGGATCCAAATCCCAGAAGCAAACAATTTCGAGGCAAAGCCGGGAGGGAAACAAAAACGATTTGAATGCTCCTGTGAGCCGAATCTCCTTGCAACCCCTGCCGTCCTCAAGAAGCCGCCTTAAACGGCGACCTCGCACACTGCATTCTCCGAAACGAACGCACGTGATCGTAAGGAATGGGAGAAGGGTGGTCAAGTGA